ACCCACATAGTGGAAGGCGAGAGCTAATTCCTACCAGCTGTCCTCTGACCTCCACGTTCATGCCGTGGCTCAGGCACATATGCCTACAGATTAGAGACATCAAAAATATTTCATTACCAAATACGAGCCTAGAACTAATAAACGTATTTAAAGGGCAGGGGCTTTTATGGTTAGAATACCTCAGCATCACAGCCAAGCTGCTCTAGTTCTGAGGCCGCAAAGGGAAGGGCAAAAGATGGCAAGCTTACTCTACCTTCTTAGTCAAAACTGTAATGTCCGAATGGCAGCCACCAGCCACACATGGGGGCTGGCCCCTCAGAACAGTCATGGCAGACTTGAATAAAAGATGTTAGAGGTTCGTTAGAAATTTCTGCAAAATATTTCTTAACAATTATTCATACTAATTATATGTAAATATAATATTTTGGACATATCAAATCAAATATTACTAAATTTAAAGAAGAATCAGTTCAAACACAAATACTAAGAAATTGATAAGCCTATCTCAGAATGGAGGTTTTCAGAAGGCAGAAATCATCAATTTTTTTTCTTCTTCTAACAAATTTTAAACAGGGCACCACCACTGTCCATTTTCCAGGTCAATGCTCATTCCCACAAGAGATGACTTGAATTTTGTCCTGCTGTTATTTCGTTCACCTCCCTATTTTCTGGCTTGTTGTGAAGCGTCCTAAGGGCAAGAGGAACATCGGCCTGGAGTCCGAGCCCGGAGACTCTGACATTCACCCAAACACTCCCCATGGCATCCCGGACCTCCAAACACCAGTCTCTGTACAACAGAGAAGACAACAACGATATGGGGGATTGTCCATGCCAAATACAGAAAGCTCTGAATACTCTGCTTTCCTGGACTTAAATCTGGCTTTGGAAGTAAAATAGCAAGCTCTTAGTCCCATCACTCTTAAAGGGGAAGCACGCACTTCTGGGGAAGGTGTACAGAAATAACACGAAATGTAAACATGGAGCAGAGTCTTGCAGAATAATGGTAAATAGTTCCAAACTATTTTCATAATTTCTGTTTCTATATTTTGAACTATGCAAAATGAGGCCACAGCTCAGTGGTAGAGCATCTGCCTGGCTTACACAACTCCTCAATGGCACATTCATACTTATTCATTTTCTCTCCTTCCATATACACAAATATCCATACTATAAATTAGAATTGCATCATAAAAAATGTCTTACATCATAGATAACAGGTTGGGGCTGTAACTCAGTTGGTAAAGCGTTGACCTAACATACACCAAGTCCTGGGTTCCATCCCCAGCACCCTATACACCAGGCGTAGTAGTATAGGCCTGTAATCCTAGTACTTGGAAGTTAGAGGCACAATAGAAGTTCAAGGTCATCTTTCACTACATTATAAACTCAAGACCAGCCTTGGTAACATGAGACCCTGTCTTCAAAAAAGTAATTAAATACGTGATAAAATATGCAATTGCAGGGATTTTCATCACAGTACCGTAATAACTAAAAGTTCAGAAACCTAAGAGTCAAGTACAAATGGGCCAAGAATAGTAGTAGGCAAATAATTTGTAAAAAGTATATAAATAAGCATAAATTGATTGTTAGTTACCAGAGTGATAGTGATGTACCTTTTCCTCATAATCAGAATTATTATTTTCACATAAATTTAAAAAAACACAAAGTGAAAAGTTTTGTGGATTATCTTGGCAAATCATAATTTAACTGATAGAGACAGCTTCTAAGACTATCCAATAGCCCAAACATAATACTAAATTAACAAACACAGTGCTAAAATAGAGGATGAAATGAAAGACTTACTTTGCATGCAATTAGACAATGCCATTCTTTTACTATATCTACATACCAACAACAGAACTCTGTTCCCTGGTCTCAGCTTTAATCCCAGCCATCCACACCCTATGTCAGCTCTGGGCATCATCATAATAAAAAACTATGGATCCACCAATCTCTCTCTGATGTGACTGAGACACACTTCCTTACTCATCCAGGAGGCTGTTGAAACACCCTGGCTCCATTGATGTGTGACCAGAGCTGTGCGAGAAAGAATGATCTGGAGAAAGCCTGGGCCCTAAGAATGGCTTTTACACGGGGACAATTAGTTAATCTGAAGGTTTTATTACTTTCATTTTAAAACTAAATCTATAATAAAAATTTTCAAACCACACAGAACAGTAATAATAAAACACAGTAAATTATCTTCTAAAATCAAATTTTTCACCATAATGATTAGCATTAATATTTAGTGCTTATGATGTTTTACTTTTGTTCCAAAGTCTATCTTGGGGTGACAAAAAAAGATGACAGACACCAAAGAAGCTGAGGCAGGAGGATGGCTGGAGGGCAGGAGTAAATAGTGAGATGTTTGTCTCAAAAACAAAACAAGGAGACTGGAGAGAGGGTTCAGCTGTTAAGAAGCACTGGCTGCTCTTGCAGAGGACTGGGTTTGGTTCCCAACACCTACATAGTATCTCAGACACATCTATAACTCCACTTCCAGGGGATCCAGTGCCGCCTTCTGGCCTCTACAGGCACGAGACCCACACGTGGTACATATTAATACATGTAGGAAAAATGCCATATGCATAAAAATATATGAATTTTTTAAAATCTGTCTTCAAGAAATGATTGTTTCTCTTCCCATTATACTTATAAAAATTAAAATGTGTGTTAATTAACTACAGGCCACATGTTACAGGGAAATGGATTCTGCTGAGTGCTGTTGTGGAGTACAAACTTGTGTGTTAACACACTGGAAGACAACATGCCAGAATCTGTGTTACAGACCATAGGTCTATGTACCCCAGAATGTATATGTTGTCATTTTTATTTTACTGAATTGCACTGCATTGTATTTTTGGTGCTAGGGATAGAAGGCCTCATGTATGGGATACAAGCTGTGTACCACCCAGATGCCTCCAGCCTAGGTGTTGAAACCTTAACCCACCATGCGAAGGAGTTAGGTAGGACGCTGGGCCTTTGGGAAGTAAGTCAAGTTTACATGATTCCCTGAATGTAGAATTCTGCCATGGAATCTCTTCCATGGAGGAGGAGAGCAGATTACATGTTCTCCATTATCAGATTTAACAGAAGACAGGTATCTGAAAAGCCTCACCCACCCCACATCTGCCAAGGCCCAAAGAATGGACTTCCCATCCCCCAGGGCCATGAGAAATTCACAGGTCTTGCTGGAGCCATCAAGACTGTGGTATCTAATGACAACATCTCAAACTCAGATTTCCAAGAACTCAAACTATACCTGTCCTGAAAATCCGCACCACCACAGTGCCTTAAAACCAACCTACAAGGCATGCACCCTCTGGGGATCCCTGTAAACCTCATGGACACAGGGAACCACCAAGGTGAGGTAAAGAAGAAAACTTGGTTCAGCTCAACTTTGTTAGCCAGCACTGTTTCAAACTTCTGGAGTCTGACACGAGGCCAGGTTATTTTAGACAAATTTAAATCTAGTACAGTTTTAGCAAAAAGATTCCTGGTAACTATCATCCCAATTCCACGTGGACAATAAATCTTAAGATGTGACGACATAAAAACTCTTTTTTAAAATATGCATGACCTCTACCATGAAGATGGATTCTATTGCCTAAGGGCCTGGGATCTGGTATGGTCTCTGACCAAGATAGCATGGGAGTTAGCAGCTCCCCTACATGTGACAGCTCCCCCAATGATGGTTTCTATTGACTGAGAAGCAAAGCTAAAGATAAAGGTCTAGGGAGGGAGAGTCTGGGATAAGCATTCTGGGGGATTTGGGTGAGGTCTAACCTTACAGGTAGGCTACCAAAAGTCAGCAGGTTATTAACAAGATCCACTCCCAGTCTAGATGGACAACAGATATTCATTTACTCCATTGAGGAGACAACCCTGCCTGATTAACACTCCTGGTTTCTCCAGTGCTTATCTGTGACCCTCTACACACCATAGAATTCACCTACTGATTCAGGCAGATTTAGTCTACCTGCAGGGTTAACTATACATATTTGTCATAATTTGTCATATTTTTGCTATGTACAGTTCTGTCACTACTCAAAGAACTGGATGCTAGGGAAAGCAAATTTGATGGTTTATAGATAACCTTGCAACAAATACAACACTTAAATTCTCACTAAGAGAAACACTCACATAGCCTGTAGGAGTCATATTCAGAAGACATACAACTCCTGAATATGATATCCTCCTTTACAACAAAGAGAAACTCGATACCATCAGAGTGTCTACCATAGTGGCAGTGACAAAATACAGTTGAATGGCTTGCAGAGGGATAATCTAGCTGTACGTGTATCAGATAGGTAAAGCTCAGAAGCAGTCTAGTAAACATAAAAGATAAGTGTACAAAAACGTACATGACATAAAAATCATGTGTGTTAAAAAAGATATACAAACTAAGCAGGCTAGGTAAGTCTATGCCGAAACGCCTCTTTACGTCTGCTTGAGCTGACCAGTGCTAGACAGGCCCTAGGTAAAGCTCAGAAGCAGTCTAGTAAACATAAAAGATAAGTGTACAAAAACGTACATGACATAAAAATCATGTGTGTTAAAAAAGATATACAAACTAAGCAGGCTAGGTAAGTCTATGCCGAAACGCCTCTTTACGTCTGCTTGAGCTGACCAGTGCTAGACAGGCCCACTGATGGGTCAAGTGCATGATAACTTCAAGCAAAGTATTTTCCTTGTTTAAACTCTTGAATACCTAGATTGCCTTTAAAGGTCCAAAGGAATATTCAACAAATGGGTGATAGTCATTGCTTTTGGAGAGAGTAAGAAAATACCAGAATTTGGAGGGGCACTTGGACAAGAGTTGAGTTCTGTCATATTTCCTCCAAAAGAAAATAGATTCATCTATTAATGACATGACTAAAAATACAATGAAATACATGTGTATCAGACAGAAACTGTAAATACGAAATACAGAGAGAGAGAGAGAGAGAGAGAGAGAGAGAGAGAGAGAGAGAGCAAGTTCTAATCACAGGTGATCTTACCAATTTGGGTTTTCCACACTTTCCCGGAAGACAGACTCTTCCCTCATGGATGCATACTGTGTCCACGTGAGGCAGTGACTCCGGATAGCCATATTCCTCTTCTGAAGACTGAGCCACGATTCCTCTTCTAGTCGGATATCGGGTACCTTTAAAATACTCACCTGCCCAACAGAGAGAGGACAGCATTCTCAGTTTTGGAAGAGCAAGCTACATGAAGCCTGGAGCTGATCTCAGTCACAGCTAACAAACGGAACAAGCGGTCCTGATGGTTGCATGGTTCTTCAGTTACACCCCTCAGTCTCTGATAATCAAGCACACTGTGGCCTCACTACATGTTGCCCAGGACTTGCAAATGGCCCAGGACTCATGTAGGTCCCAAAAAAATTATCAGCTGCTTCTTGTCTTCTCTGGGGCAGGCCTTCTTGCGGTGATGGGTTCTCATCAGGCCCCTCCTACATGCGCCCATGCAGGGCCGTCTCAAGAGAAATGTTTCCTCGTTGTAATCTCTGTTCAGTCCCTAGAAATGGATGCTTTCCCAGGTGGAGAAGACAACAAAAGCTACAAAGGCAGAACTGTACAAGTTAAAGCCTTAAATTATTTAAAAATTGAGATACAAGACGAACTTGAATGCCTTTTTAAATAATAGATTCAAAGTGTGTATATAGGGCAAAGGCAGCTCTGAACTCTGGAAAAGCCAGTGATAATTTGCTGCTGAAGTGTAACACGGCTTCCCATCTGCAAGTCAAAAGGAGTTCATTTTCTTTGTGGTTCTAGCCTCTTTCCACTAAGGAAATAACAGTGATTTAACCCACGATGAGAAATGAATGGAAGCTGCCATTTTTCCTAGTATAAACACAGCAATTTAATTTGCACGCTCATCCGCGGGTGCCCAGATTCATTCCGGATCACACAGGGAATCTCTTCTGAGGTATTTTTTAAGTGCCTGTCAAGATGCTCTTGTTTTACCTACTAAAAGACCACCATCAAAAATCCTACATTGTGAATGAAGAGCTTCTTAGCTGTTTAAAGTACTGAGAATAAAAGAAAGTGCTCAGCCACAGATGGGCCATCCATACCAAACACCTCACAATTCAGGGAACATGTTGGAAGAGAGGAGAGAAAGAATGTAGGGGAAGAGCACTGTAGAAGGTCATCTGATGGACACACCATGGCTGCTGTGCATATGAACTCGCACCAGCTCTGCTTACCTGCATAAGACCTGCATGGGATCAAGCAAGTTAAAAACTCCAGCATAGATAGCATGGACAGGGGAGGGCTTAGCTGTGGAATATGGCAGTTGGTGGCTGCTAAAGGAGGGAGAGCCACTTTCTTTGGAGGGGTACCCATGCCCCAGTAGATAACTACAAACCCAAGCAGATATGGGCAACACTAACTGGACTCCATGATTTAAAATAGAGTAATATTAGAATAAAAATAGGGGAACGTGAAGCTGGGAGGGAGATTCTGAAGGAAATTGGAGGGGGAAGGGAGTAGATAAGATCAAGACATAAATATATATGTATAGTATATATACATACACACACACACACACACATATATATATATGTTCACATATATACATATGAAATTTTCAGACTAAAAACATTCTTTTTCACACTTCAACAGCTAGGCATGGTGGGACACACCTGTTACCTCAGTACTTAGATGGCTGAGGCAGGAGGATTATCTTCAGTTTGACACCATCCTGGGCTACACTCTAAGTTTCAGGCCCTCCTAGGCTATGGAGTAAGGCCCTCTCTCAAGAAGAAAAATCCATGTATGGTTCAAGCCATGCAAATGATGTTTTCAACTTACCTTTGTCCAACACAGAATCATCAGAGAGCTTAAGGGTTTCAAAGAGAGAGAACAATTTTCCGTCATGAACATTCCGGCATCAGTGCCCTTAGATCACAGAACTGCGCGTGGAAAGGCTTGCAAGGGGTACTAAGAAGACGATGCTCTCAGAAACAACTGCTGTGCCCAACAGTGCATTACAAGCAGAAGTGCGGACTCCCTCACTGAACATGGGACTAATACTTACAATCTTCTCACTTCTGATTGTTCTTACCTGTTGCTAGCCGTGGACAGACTAGAAAAGACAACGCTTCATTCAAAATGCCAAAAAGTACCCACAAAATAATCATCAAATCACCTCATATCCACAAAGGGCCCTTCACAGAACAGACAGAGATGAGACACTCCAGAGGCATCTGTCAACACTGCGATGGACATGGAAGAAATATTTTCCTTACAAAACCATGAGAGTGGACAGTGGGACATTCTGACACCCCCTTCGATCGGAAAATGCTGTCTTTTTCTACCACTATGAAAATTCCTCAGTTTTATACCCACTGTGATTAAACTCGGAAATGAATTTACCTTTCTTAAAATTTCTGGCACCACATTCTGGCAGATAGCAATCCTCTTTCTATAGATGAGTCCTGTTGATTCATCTGGAAGAAGCAAATTTCATAGCCAAAACATAATTAGGGAGAGACGTATTCTTATCTAAGAGTCCACAGAGCTTTTTAGCTCAACTTCAATTTTGAACATATAGAATTCTCATAGATAAGGCTTGACACGAAATGAAGTTTTCCAGGGGCTGGAGAGATGACTCGGTGGCTGAGAATGCTCACTGATCTTGTAAAGAGTAAACAAGCGTGGTTCCCAGCACCCACCTCAAGCAGCTCACAACTGCCTCTAACTCCACTTCCAAGGGATCCAACACAGCTGGGTTCCTCAGACACCTACACCCAGGCACAAGCTCACCACACAGAAACACCATGTAAAAATAAAAGAAATCTTTTTTTTTTTAAACATTCTGTTTTTCAGATCAGTTTTCTGAGCCCAATCACAAATGCTCGAGGAGTAGATGTAAAACAACAAGTCTGAACACACGGGCTAAATTCGAGACAGTGAATCACAAACGGGCTACCACCCTCGGCCATCGGTGCCGAGCATCCAGTGGCAGTGGCCAGTGGCCACCAGCTCAGACTCTGCCAGCTCCTGGACCACAGTCTCATGCCTAGATTTCTGACTGTTTCACTTAAACCAGTAACTAATTAACTACACGAGTTACACCCATCAAAAAATGAAAGCCCTGAGACCAGAGCATTCCTGGAGGGAAAGTTAAAACTAGTGAGAATAAAAGTAAGTGCAAGTGAAGATGAGAGGAAGCAGGGGGGCGGGGTGGGGGGTAAGCAAACTGTGAAGTGCTGTCATTTCTCTGTGAATTGCTGTGACTCAGACACAAGGCGAGGTTTCTCGGTGCTCTAACTACAGCTGCCCTAACCCCTGCTGCAAACACCATCATCACCAGGAACCTGAAGTCAGGAAACAAATGCTGCACCCCCCGCAGTCCTTTGGCAACGTCAGACAATGTGAATAGCACATGTATTAAAAATGGAGTTGTTTCTAGGCATGGAGGCACAGGCCTTTAACACCAGCCCCTGGAAGGTAGAGGCAGGTGGTGCTCTGTGAGTTCTAGGCCAGCCTGGTGAGCACAGGATGTTTCAGGTCAACCGGGGTGAAATACTGAAAAATAAAATGGAGACAGAGATGACATCCTGAAATTAACAAGATCATTTTACCATTTGACAGATAAAGAGCTTAAGCCTTTGAAAAGTTCGGTCATGAGGGAAGTAACAGAATCAGGATTCGAAATCAGGTTTGTCTCAGACCAGAAAGCAAGTTTGTCCCACATCACACAGGTGCATGAGAAAATGCTTTTGCAATCTAGTTCAATAGCTACAGATATGCAGAAAGCAGCCCGAGAAATAAGACAGTTTCATGTTGACGCAGCAGGGGAAGCTGCAGCCATGTCACCCAGCAGCACCCGTGGTTTCCAAGGCTGAATTCTGAGCGTGCTGGGCTGGTCTCTGGCTGTCTCCACAGGCTTGGGCCTCAAGCGTGCGCATGTTCAGAGCTCCTGGCACTGCCCACTCCTCAATTCCCAACACAGTAACTGTCACAATTCTTCCCCAGAAGGAGGGAATGCAAAGAGCACCAGAGACCCTAGCACCACACCCCACACCCCGAGGTGGAACACAGTCAACATCTCCTGAAGGGGTCATGAGGTATATAATTTAGATGTGTGGGCCACGTGGTCTCTTTTGCAAATACTCAGTTCTTGCTGTAACTCAGATGAAGCAGCCATTGATAGCATACAGAGGGAGTGTCTAATGTGCAGCAAATCCATGCTTACCAAAACAACACAGCGTAAGCCATAATTTGCCAAACTACAGTTATGGTTCCACAATCTAAGCAATTTATGGCAACATCACATCTGTCTGCTATTTTTAATAGCCCAGGCTAACCTTGAATTCCTAGTTCTCCCCCCTCCACCATTCAATGGCTGGGGTTGCAGACACGAGCCACACCATGCCTGGTTCGTCTGTGCGCTATCTACGATTGTTTTGCCATCTACAAATTGACATGTGATAGAGATACAGCCAAATGAGCTTAGGTATGTTAGCCAGCCTCTCTGTGCTTTAGTTTCTTCCTGCATTAAATATGAAAAACCATAATCCTACCTCAAACATTATTCTAAATGTTGAATACGCTAATGAAAAATGTTGGCACACATTAAATACTTCAACGTGCTACCTGCACCATTATGCCTGGCCTCAGTCTTACCATCAAATATAATTTAAAAAGTGACAGTGGTTATGCCTGAGATGTAATAGACACACACATACACAGACATGCACACACACACACGTGCACACATACTCACATGCATGGACACACATGTGCACACATACTCACACGTGCATGGACACACACGTGCACACATACTCACACATGCACACACACGTGCACACATACTCACACATGCACACACACGTGCACACATACACATGCACACACACACACACAAATACACACACACACATGTATCCCTTACAAAGTGAGAATCCTTAGTGACTATAACTAAAGTAGGCCATATTCAAAGAACTTACCTTTCTTTTCTTCCACAGTTTTTACAGCGATGACATTATTATCCATGGGGTTGGGGTACTAAATGAAAACACATAATGAAAAGTTAGTCTTTTAAAATTCTCTTTAAAGATGAATTAGCTGATAGAAATGACAGGTACCTGCAGGACTAGAAAGTATCTTCCAAGAAACCTCTAAGTAAAACCCAGCTTTAAATCAAGAATCTTGGTTTTACCACTCATTCAAACAAGTGAGAAGGGCTTTCATAAAATCCAGAGGCAATTTATTTAACGGGGGGGGGGGGGGGGAGGGGTTGTGGTCTTGCCTGCATATGTATGTGCACCAGGTGAGTGCTTGGTGCCAAAGAGAAGATCAGAGGATGACAGGTCCCCCAGGACTGGGGTTACAAATTATTGTGAGCCACCACATCTGCACTGAGAACTGAGCCCAGATCCAATAAGGGCTCCTAGCCAATGTCATCCCTCTGTCTCCGGGAAAATTTTTAGATCCTATATAAGTCCTGAAGAGAGAAGAGAATGAGGTGAGAATAAATAAATGAATAATAACAACAACAATAATAATGAACCAGACTAACATAAACTAAGAATATTCTCAGTGCCAGACCTGTGCTAAATGCCTTAATTATACCACCCTATCTAACAACTATTCCATTGTGAAGGAGTTACATAATATTATTATCCCTAATTTTTAAAAGCAGAAACTGGATGAAGATCGGGTTGTTTCAGGAATTAAACAGGCCAGTCCAAAACAGAAAGAATTCATTTAACTACTGCCCTGGACCATGGCCTGGTGACTGTGTTAGTACCTCAGGCAAATAACCATAAAAGGATAGGGTTCGGGCACACAGGAGCTATTTGATAAATAATTAATTTCTTTTATTAAATTGTCCTGGAAGACAATTTAGATGAATCAACATTTATAATAGCTACCATTTTTAACCTACTCGATTTACATACATGGTCTGTTAATTCTCAAAAGCATACCATGAGGTTGTATGGGTTTTACTTTTTTCTATTGCCTATATGGGAGGTCAGTCTTGGAAAAACTAAATACCCTGCTAAAATAGTTAAAAATTACTGCACCTGAGATAATGTAACTTACCCCAGATACTGTCTGACTGCCTCCATATTGAAGTTACCTCTGAGTTACTTTAACCCAACCTTTCCATTACTCAGAAGTGGAGAGAGAAGAGAGAGAGGGAGAGAATGAATGAATGAATCTCTCAAAGCCACATGACAAATGGCTTCTAACTGGAGACTGATGCTACCCCCTGCCTCCTCCCAAGGACCCCAGCTTCATAGTGTGGTCAAATGGCATCTTAACACACTGAGCAAGTACACGCTGAGGTAGGAAAAGGGGTCCTTTGCCTGGAGAACTTGAGCTTCAGGACTCCTGAATCCTTCTAAATGAAATATAAAACTCTATCAGTATGAGTTCCAAAGAAACAAGAATAAGAATAAAGATGCTTTTGTGCATGCATTCACTCAGTTCAGCCCTAGACAGCAAGACTCAAAATAACAATGACTACCTTCATGAAGCTTAGCCCTCCAGAGATCCACACTGGTAATAGAAGGGTGGACCTCGGAGTCTGTCCCTCTACAAAGGATACTTCCTGCACAGAGACATCCAAGACGCACCAACTCCCTAAACCATGAAGACAGGGTGCGAATTAGCCCTGTTACACCAACATGAAATGGAATTGTTTCCTTTACTGCATTCCAGCTTGTTCATTACATATCCATAAATGCATCCTAGTAAATGTTACAGTCACGCTGTAAGTTGTAGAAAGATAACTTAACTAAATTATGAAGGAAAATACAATGCATCGCCAGGCAGGCACAGATTACATCACTAAACTGTCAGTGAAATTCTTACAGGTTAAACTATGCAATTTCACACTTCCATTTCATTTCAATATTTACCTACTAAGAAAAAGGATATTCATTTAAATAAGGATCCTTTTCATCTTTCTTGTGATTAAACAGGCAGGAAGATAAAAATGAATGGATAGATAGACAGACAGATAGACAGTGTCTTAGTTCGAGTTTTATTGCCATGAAGAGACACCATAACCATGGCAACTCTTATGAAGGAATTCATTGAATTGTAGCTGGCTTACAGTTCAGAGGGTTAGTCCATTATCGTTATGGTGGGAAGCATGATGGCGTGCAGACAGAAATGGTGCTGAGAGTTCTACAACTTGATCCACAGGCAGCAGGGAAAGACAGTGCCTGGCTTGAGCTTCTGAGACCTCAAAGTCCGTCCACCAGTAACACAACTCCTCCAACAATGTCACACCTACTCCAACACACCTCCTAATAGCACTACTCCCCGTGAGCCTATGGGGGCCGTTTTCTTTCAAACTACGATAGATAGATAGATAGATAGATAGATAGATAGATAGATAGATAATAGATAGATAGATAGATAGATAGATAGATAGATAGATAGATAATAGATAGATAGATAGATAGATAGATAATAGATAGATAGATAGATAGATAGATAGATAGATAGATAGATAGATAGGAAAATACTGTTCCAGACACTTAGGATGTGGTCAGGAAATGAACACCACGTAGCCTCTTAAAAAATTCATACATTACTTGAAGAAACAAACAAAAGCAGTAAATAAATACGTCAGATCTGCTTAAGAGAAAATAAGACAGGGTGATAGACGGAAAAACATGGAAAACACAGTAGAAAACACTTAAAGGTCACTCGTTTTACAGTCCTTGCAAACAGCTATAAGAAAATGGAACTTTTAATAGCTAAACATGAGAACATGAACTATTCACTCTAGTAAAAATCATTTGCAAAATCTAAGTTGTTTTCCTCCATGAGTTAACAGACATAGACCTCAAGTTTCCATAAAGAATGGCGAAGGAAATTAGAGGTTTGTGTGAAACCGCTAAATACTGTGACACGGAGGGCACATATTTTAATGCATTTCAGAAATTAAAGATGTATCGAACCAAGGCTCTCTCTACCTGGCATTACTTGAAATAATAGAATGCCATCTTGTGGTAACCTACATAGTCCTGTTTTAATTCTTAACACACAAAACACATGGAAAGCCTGATACTCAGGGAGTAAGGGAGGAGAGGTTGCTCCGAGCTCATACTAGGCGCCCTTCTCACCAGCCGGGGACGACCTCAAGTGCTACTCATGATTTCTGGACATCTATTCCAACACCATATGACTATAGAACTTGATGCAATCAGATCCAGATCCGTACTGTTCCCACCCTGCATGGCTGTACTGTGCCCACCCTTCATGGCTGTACTGTGCCCACCCTGCATGGCTGTACTGTGCCCACCCTTCATGGCTGTACTGTTCCCACCCTGCATGGCTGTACTGTGCCCACCCTTCATGGCTGTACTGTGCCCACCCTGCATGGCTGTACTGTGCCCACCCTGCATGGCTGTACTGTGCCCACCTTGCAAGGCTGTACTGTGTACACCCTGCATGGCTGTACTATGTACACCCTGCATGGCTGTACTGTGTACACCCTGCATGGCTGTACTGTGTACACCCTGCATGGCTGTACTGTGCCCACCTTGCAAGGCTGTACTGTGCCCACCCTGCACGGCTGTACTGTGTACACCCTGCACGGCTGTACTATGCACACCCTGCACGGCTGTACTGTGCCCACCCTGCACGGCTGTACTGTGCCCACCCTGCACGGCTGTACTGTGCCCACCCTGCACGGCTGTACTGTGCCCACCCTGCACGGCTGTACTGTGCACACCCTGTGTGGGCTACACAGTGGCTGCTCTACACGATCTCATTTAGTTCCCTTTCAAACAAGAAAACACACTAGTAAGTATTATATGAACCCTGCTTGTTAAAAGTCTCCTGTGTAAATCCTGCGCAGAACAGAGATTGGCCTGCCCAACCCCACTCCATATTCCAGATACTCCTGGAAGCAACGTGGTCTGTTGACCCACTTCCTGCCAAAATACCCTTGTCTTTCTTGAGCCTGGTTCAGCAGCTGTGTACACACACCAGGTGCGCTGTATTTTATCGGTGAGTCTGGAGAGTTTCCAAGGTGCATTTGGCTTCATTTTTTATCTAATTTATGATTTTACTTTCTTCATAGAAAAAGCAGGCTCACTCCTTTCCTTTCCCATGATGTAAGTCTACTGCAGCGCTAAAAAAGGTAAAATGCTTACTTATCACCCACTCCTTTTCATTTTCCTCTTCACATATTAAAAGAGGCTGGAAACCATTTGAATGGAGGCATCTTGAATGGGGAAATAAAGCTACTCCTAGAATCCATAGGTTATTCAATGAAAATCCCTTTTCTAGGGATGGGCTACCTCCCTACAAATCCCTCTGCGGCCTCCAAAATAATACAGGTGATTGCCACCGCTGTTGGCTGCCCACTGGAACTAGATGGTAAGGCCCTCTTGATGAAGCAAGCACATGCTCTGGTCTAAGGACATGGAGAAATTAAGCTAGAAGTGAGCTGGATGCTCTCTCCATGACAACTGGCCCTTACTGGGTCAGCAGTGCTACGCAGATAGGGAAACTGTCCTCAGCTGCCTTGCTCAGCATTGGACCCTGCAAACGATTTTGTTGAATCTCCAGGCAAGATGTGCCCACTAGTGTTACAGTAGCAAGTCCATTATGGGGTAACCAGCCACTTTCAAAGTGGATTTGAGGCCTGCTTCATAGGACAGAACCAGTGCTCAGTACAGGAAGCCTGGTCAAAGCCCTGTGGCTGGAGAGGTCATGGGTCTACTAGGAAGGCTGCTGCTGTTGTTTTGCTAAATGGATTCACTGTGTCCATCAAACTGGCTTCTAAGTAATTATGTTTATTCCCATAGATGAATGTTGCTGCCACCTCTGGGCAGAGACCCTTCTAGACACCTTGTTCTACAACACTCTGTCCCTTTCTCCTGCTCCTACTTTCTTTAAATCTGGGCAGCCTTCCTAGTAGACCCATGACCTCTCCAGCCACAGGGCTTTGACCAGGCTTCCTGTACTGAGCACTGGTTCTGTCCTATGAAGCAGGCCTCAAATCCACTTTGAAAGTGGCTGGTTACCCCATAATG